ACGGGCACTAAGGCAGCGGGTGATAATGTAACTAATGATCTGATTGTCACCAGCTTGTATAATGAAGTGTGTCTGGGGGCTGATCGGATTACGCCATCAATCAAATCCCTTTGCAGCACTCCCTCCTTCAGCAGAGCTCCCTGCAGGGCAGTGTATGCCTTTGCCAGCTCCCTCCCAGCTGTAACCTTTATTGTCTCTCCCCAAAGTGATGAGCTCCCATAAGGGGGGAAAAAGTTGGGCTGCAAGCAGCTGAAGTTTGATGATGTTCTGTGTGTGGTTATAATACTTCAGGGATGATTTTGCTGGGAGGTGGCCATTTTATGGCTTTAACCTGACAGTAAATCCTATTTATCAAAATGGTTAGTGATCAAAGAAGAGTCTAGAAACTGGGTCCTGCCACCCTGGCTCTGACATAAAGAGGACAACAACATATTGTCCGGATTAACAGGAGGGGGAGGGCCATCAACGTGGCATGGCACACCTGAGCTTCCAAAGGAGAAAGCTCAGTTTGAAAATCCCGTGGCAGCTTTCAAGTGTCTCAGCTGAATGCAGATTTGGGTGGTTGTGCTCAAGACATTGACAGCCACCACAGCACTTGAATGGGGCTTTCCAGGACCAGAGTGAGCTGTGTCAGACTCAAGAGTCTGTCTCACAGATAGGATTTGTTTGCAGCAGGACAGAGGGTCTTCACCAGCCCATCCTGTCCTGGTGCATGACTGCCCAACAGCTCTGGACTTGCCCCAGGGACCAGCATTACTTTCAGGCCACCTTAAAACACTGGGTTCAAAGGCACCAAAACAAGATCAGCGTCTTGAACAGCTCAAGTGTCTGTGCATTGGGAGAAGACAGATCACCTCAACGTTTGTGTCATCAATCACTCTGATCAAAGCTCCCTCCCTCCCTGTTGCTGGATTAATTAACTGACAATAAATTAGGCATCATCTCATTTAACCATTATGAGATCAAAAATAGCATAAGGTTAGAAAATACATTGGTCCATTAAGTCCTGTTGTCCAAATTGCCTGTAGAAAGGTATGCTGGCTGGCTCCTGTGAACGGCCACGTCTAAGCAGACAGCTGGGTGTTTCCTCCCTGTCCCCCCCAGCCCATGTATGTATGGTTAGGAATACAGAAACAAACTTTAAAAAAAGTCTTAAAGCTATTTCAGAGTCCTGCAAAAATAATTTGACAAATTAATGACAGTGTCTATAATTACAGAGCGTGTAATGAGTTCTTGCTCCAATTACTGCAATACCTTCAAGATCTCAGCCAAACTGATTTCTCTGATAAGCCCGCTCTACAACATAGGCATCATCAATACCAGCCACCAAAAAAAGAATGGCAATTAATATGTCAAAGAAAACTGGGAAAATCCAGCTTCTGACTTGGCCCACACTGAAACACTGTGACCAGTCTCGGGGCCGGGAGCTGGCTCCTGTCATACCTCGAGGTAGAGCTCAGTCCTGCGAGCTGGGGTTGTGGGGCACTGACCCAGCATTGGGCCAGGGTATGGACTGGCCCTCACCCCAACACAGGCTGACTGCAGTGGGGCTCTGAAATACCTTCATCTGGCACCTGGGACCACCTCAAAGCTCAATACAACCCATTTGGTCTGGATGTTTTGGCATCTCCTTGGTGACAGTACGGGACTACATGCATTCCCATGTTTTAATGTAGGGGAGATAGGCCTTTTTGATACTAAATTCAATTCAGTTCCCAGTTCCCACTCAAGGAGGGGTTTTCAGTCAAAAGACTCTCTTACAACAACCTTTAGTGTTAAAATTCACTCTCTCAGCAGCAGATACTGTTTGTCTCAACCAGAACTTGACAATGGTTTCCTTCTGCCTTCCTCCAGGCAAACACTTTCACAGGTACACAGACCAGTAAATCAGTTTTCTGGTCTATTAGTACCTACAGGTTGCATTCCTCGGGGGAGCTGCCAAACTGCTCACGAGAGCACCTCGAAGCCTTAGTTAACCTATCAGGTGCTCCACAAACTGAGCAGGCTTTAACTCCATGGCTCAGGAAATTCAGACCTGTGACACCAAGAAAAGAAGGAGAAAAGCAGCAGCTGCCACCAAGGGGGAATAACTCACACAAAGTAGGAAAAGAAATATGCACATACTAAAATGTAATTAAGTATCATTGTTCATAGCATACCCTTTCCCTTGCCACTTGGAAATTTTCCAAGTATGCTGAACCCCTTAATTTACAAAACAATCGACCCAGCATCGTTAGCACATCCTGCAGACTTGCTTAATTTAGAGAACGTAGGGCATCTACTGCAGATTGAGCTGTTGTAAGCTGTACTCATTCAAGATGCTGCAGTGTTATTTGCAGTATTATTGTTTAAGGCTTCATTTTCATCCACATGAGGAGTTGTATTTTGTTTGTGGAATAAAAGGCAACAGAACATTTTCTACCACTACTATTGTTAGCAGTGCTTTAATCATGATAATTTGAAACTGAAACCTGACTTTGAGCAGTTCACCAAAGGCCACCCTCAGAAATCTCACAGAAAGCTGGCATCTGTGCAGCCCTTTACATGTATTTACACAGGGCACAGAATGTTTTTGAGTTAGAAGTCCATCACAGTCCATTCAGTCACAATGCTGGAGAAAAGTGATGTCTACCATATACAATGCACTAGCTAATTATGAAAGTGAATTTCCCAGTGTCTTTGGAAAGAGGTAGTGTCAACTTTTGTGCTCTACATGATGGAGTTTAAGGGGGAGAGGAGGGGAACACCACTCTACATGCAAAGCTCATTCAGCACTCGATGCTCCAAACAGGCTCTAAGATTTATCACAGGGAACTGTCAGAAAACAAAACTTTCTTGGGTGATCCCACAGGAGTGAAGACTCCTGTTACACTGATTAAAATCCTTCACCTTTGACTTTTCCTCAGACTAACCTGACATGGAAGTCAATGCTGCTTGGTTGTGTTGGGCTACGCTGACTTGCAGTATTTCATGCCACAGGAATTTCTGACTGCCCTAACTACTGCTCAGTCTGACCACACATCCATTGGTGCTTTCCAGCTGAAAAGCAGGAATTAAAAACACATTTCCTTTCTGATCACCAGTCCTCTTCTTGGTACCAGACCCACTGCTGGGTATGTTTCACCATGCAATTTTATTTTTTTGCCCTGTGTGACTGGCTTTCGGGCAATATGTTCCAAAGTTGATGAATCTTTCAGTAACTTTGAAACTAGTTATCATAACACTTCTGCCTACTATTTTGTGCTAACATAGTCTTTTAAACAGACCTACCTGTGATCTCTTCAATCAGCATCCAAGAAAACAGGAAGTGAACAAGGTATTCCAGTAGAACTACAGACCATTGAAGGGAAGCTGGGGTGGATGTCGGGAAGATATTTCGTGATTCCATTCTTGCCTCCAGCTTTGGTCACTTCTGTCACATGCCAGATATTGAACAAATGAGAACCATGAAAAATTCACTTTTGTAACAAAATTTATTTCTGCTCTGCGGATACAAATCCCAAACATCAACAAACAAATTCCAGTGGAAAAATACCAGTCATTAACAATGAAAACTTTTATTATTATTCAATAAATAGAACTTTGGCATTCAAAATTCTAGCTGTAAACCCTACTTTAAAAAAAATTACAAAAAGAGGCAAGAACAACAAGCCTAAAGCTGAGCCAGCCAGTGGCTCCTTTACTTTTTACAATGAACACATTGTGATTAAGTCATGACAACTCTATTTACATATGAGGTATTCTGAGCGGTTCAAAAATTGAACCCAATTTACAAAACTACCAGTCTTCAGGGACTGATCCAGTACATATGTCAGCTGTGCTTTTAGAAGAGAGCTCCAGACACTCCTCCCCACTGAACTAATGATATACTTAATTAATATACAGAAACACATTATTTGTGTTTCTTGCTCACGCATCATATTCAAAAGAGCTGCATACTACGACCAGTCTAACATTCAAAGTGTACACCTAGTACCTAGTTTAAATACTTCTGTTTCTAAACATTATGCAAGAGTTCTTACTACAAAAGCTTACTAACAAAGTAATGGCAGGTGAGAAGAAAAGAAGGTGCAGTCATCAGCATCCTAAAAACTTATCTGAAGTTCAAGGGGAATATACACTTACTTCAGGCAAAAAAGGCACAAAGGTATGCAGCCGTGGAATTAATATTGCTAATTAGCTACTGGAATAAATCATCCCTTTAGATAATAACCATTGATCTGTTTGCAGTCTAAGAATGCAGATTAGTTCAGAAGATCTTTTTCCCACTCATGACAGAACTCGTCACATCAATGAGAAGAGCACAATTATACTTCCAACTCCACCTGCATTATAGCACTGAGAAGGACAAGGAGAACTGGAGCAAATTGTGCCCTTGCAGAAAGACTGCAGTGTGCCATCACTGCCCATGCTATGACACCAGGTTGTGAAGGAAAGGATTTGCTTTCTTCCTTTCCTTGTGCTCTTACCCTGCAAGAAAAATGTCCAAAAGAACATTTGAAAGAAAATGTGGGCTGTGAGGGCAAAGGAAGGAAGGAAACCTTTTGAAGTGAAAAGGATGGAATTTCAGCTCTTGTAACGACTTCTTGACCACCAGCAGCTTCAAATGCTGGAGCCTGAGTGGGTGGTTACAGCAATCTCCACAATTTCACACAACTATCACACCACAAAGCTGCACAGCAGAGGCCAGCAACCTAAATCACGTTTACACTACTGAGCTGTGTTACTTCTATATAGAAAATACATAGCATCGTCTATAGCTTGTCCGAAGACACTTACTTTCCGTGTCTTTTTCAAAGTACATTCTTAAATACAGTAGTTACTGTAAATATCTTCTGGAGGATCATATAAATTCAATCTGAAACTATACAAAATGTTACTGTACAAATTTGCTGACACCCAGAATGGTATAGTATCCATTCATCTGCAGTTGTTTTTCAGCCCTTGGGATTGTCTAACAGCTACAGCAAAAAGTTGTCATGACTAAATCTAAGCAATTCCAATGTTAACATTCTTTAATCAACTCTGTATTAAATAAGCTGAATGAGACCACACACACACTACATTTTAACCAATTAAACAGTCATGCATATCTTAGACAAAGCTTATTCCATTTAGAGGCATCTGTAAACTGATGCATATATAGTAATTGCTACCACTACAACAGGCCAAATTTTAAGGAATCAAAGCAAAATACTGCATCACTGTAGACAGTCAGTTGGTAGTCTGCATCTTTGGCTCATACATCCATCATTTACCTCCCTACTTTAATTTGACTGAGGCAGATAAACTCACGGGGTTTTAAAATCAAGTGCTTTAAAGTCAACATAAATATTACAGGTTCTGTAAGAAAAACATTGCAATGCAAGATTACAGCACTGCAATCAAAGTATTACAAATAAAATGGGACCTCCTTCCACAGAAACTTTCAACTAATACTCGAAGACCATAAAGACTCCTGAAGTGCTCTGCAAACATAAATTACTGATCTCAGCTTTCAGTACAGTATCACCCTTTAACAGGAGGGATGCTGGAGGCACACCAGCCAAGTGACAAGCTTAACAGTTCAAAAAAGATCTCCTGCTCCTCGCTAATTGCTCTACTAACCTCCTTGTTATTTCCATCAAATTTAGAAAAAGTGTTGCTTGGTAAATTTTTATAGGTACAACACTGCCATTTAAGGAAGCAAACAACATGTAACTTAGGTGTTTCCTCTCTCCCTAATACTTCTCATTTATTATCTGAAATGCTATTGTTGAATTCTGGTAGGAGACAGATGCCATAAACTGAAGACTACTACCTCACTGCAGGACCAAAACCAGCAAATTACACCAAAGGAACGAGCTGAGGCTTTAGTTACAAAAGCCAATACTGTCAGAGGCACCGGAAACCATGCCAGCCCATTTGTACAAAGTTCCTTGTCTTCAGTTGTGCACTAGTAAAAAAAGTACACCTTTGATGTGGAAGATGTGTATTAATGTGGAATTAATACTGCTAATGAGCTTCCAGAATAAATCATCCCTTTAGATAATTACCATTGATCTGTTTGCAGTCTAAGAATGCAGATTAGTTCAGAAGATCTTTTTCCCACTCATGACAAAACTTGTTACATCAATGAGAAGAGCACATTCATATTTCCAACTCCACCTCCATCACAGCATTGAGACAGACAAGAAAAACTGGAGAAAATTACACCCTTGTGGAGAGATTGCAGTGTGCATACAGAAAGAGCATAGACATTTAAAATAAAATGGCCTCATTTCTTTTCCTTTAAGTAGACACTAGACAATTTCACTTGCGATTTCCTCTAGACACTATTTTAGTGCTCACAGGAGCTGAACCAGATTAATCTATCTGGAAACACCATGCAGCAGTAATATAAATAGCAACATTATTTTTCACAAATTAGTCCAAGTGTAGTTTCAGGATAGAGAAAACTGTGAAATAAATAAATGCATATAGTTAAAAAAACCCCAAACCACTAAATTATAAAAACAACATTAATGGTAACTGTTTAACAATAGACAGAAAGCAAAATATCACCAAGTTAAAACTGGTAACCAGTATATGTTGCTTTACCACTTTTTTCTATTAACACAAGTATAATCAGAAAACAGAAGATACTAACACTTTTGCCATAAAAATGTTACCCTAGAATTTTCTTGGTTCTAATTGCTAAGCTTTCTAAGAGATTTCTGCTGGTATCCCCACTACGGGTCAGTTGACTGACTTGCATTTTAAAGCATCTAAAACCTTCTTTTAGTCCCACACACGTAAGTGATGCATGTATTTTTCTTAACAGTGTGATCTGGAAGTGGTTTTGCTCTTCACAAGTTTTTGTTTTCTTCAGTTAAATGCTATTTTCCAGCATGCATAACTGTGCAGCTACCTTGCAGTAATGTTCCAGGAAATGTCATCTGTCCCATGGGAGTTAAACAGCACTGCCAAGTGATACTCATTGAAAAGCTATGGAACACAATCTTATTTTTTTAGGTAATTGCTTCCTACAAAAATGGAGAGATCAAAAATTCCAAAACAATGTGGCAAATGTTGCAGTTCTCAGATAACCAAGTACTTAATACTGCTAACTGGAAAACTTCTGGTTTGAGCCCTGATTTTGCCAAGAGTTAAACACCCTTTTTAGCTGTGGTAAAAAATGGTTGAGGTGGTGCACAACCTCATCAGAGGCCTTCAGCAACAGAACACAGACCAGCCACATTTTAAAATGGAGAGGACCTAAGGAAAAAGTTAATAAAAACACCAAAGTACAGTTGTTGGTTGTTTTTTGTTTTTTTTTTTTCCTGCAGCCATGTACTATGTTGCAGTTTCATATCTTATAGCTTCTCTGGGTTTGTCACAGACTTCATATTACTGAAACTTCTTACAGCAATGTGAGAGCATTTCAAACAACCTGATATAGCTATATTTTATGGACTTGTTTGCATAAAGGAGTTAAACTTGTCCAATTGCTATTGGACAAACAATCCATTACTAAACCCATCTTTCTTATATTCCTATTTTTAGACAACTTGGATATCAACTACTTTTTGTAGTGCTCCAAGATTGTTCCAACCGCAATTCTTTGAGTGAAGTGCAGTGGCAGAAACTCTGGCTTCACCACATACAGCTACAGGTCCTTTGACCTTCTCCTCTAATATCAGAACACATATAATGCCACACAAACCCTTGATGAAGGAAAGGACTGAGAGCAGTAGCAGCACGGCTGTTTTGAAGCTCTGATTCCAAAAACTAGATGAAGTAATAAAATGAGCCCTAATGAAGGAAACAGTGTCCAACTGAATCATTCTTCACAGCTTGTTCCTACATTCAGTAGTTTGGAGAAAAGATTTCTTGCAGTTTGTACCACTCTGTTCAATGCTGACTTTCCCCTCCAGACCAGACTCCCAAGGTTAATTATACGCAGCCCTCACAGGTGCGTGTCTGTGGCTATTTGCAGCCTTCCAATATGGCTCCTTAGTAGAAATGAAAAGACCTGTGACACAGCGGGATTTAGTAAGTCGTTTTCTACTAGATGAAGTGTTGTCATTGAGTAATGCAATTGTCCCCCATGTCCTGAGCATAACGGTCCGACATTATAGTCCTTAATTCATCAATATCCTTCCGTAACTGACAAACGTCCAAGAGCTTCTTCGAAAGAGTTTCTGTGCTGTGGTAATTTTCACTCTCTTCAGCTGAACAGCTCAGTGCTACGAAAAACAACATCCAAGGTTAAAGCTCTAGCAACTGTACTCTGTGAATACTTCAACTACTCATCCCCTTCGAAATAGGAGGTAGGTCACTTTAGTTACATCAAGACAAATCACACTTCAGCGTGATGAAAAGCCAAGAAAACATGGTACCATGTGAACTTAAAGTCAATTCAGAGCCCATCAGTGCTTCTCTGAAAGATATGCTTTTCTGTTTGCACCAAGATCTAGACTTGCTGATGTCTGATGAATCAGAACAGCAGTGAAAAAAACTGGACAGAACAGCCATTTCCTAGAGGTTTTGGAGTTTTCTGTAGCCACTTAGAAAAGAGGGCTAGGAGGCATGCAGTAGCTCTTGCGGCACAGAACACTGTACTTTACCTTTCCACCCTGCTGATGGTTCAGTTCAGCAATCTGTGTACCTGATTAATTCCAATTAACATTCAGAAAACATTAGAATATGATACATCCATTAAAAAAAAAAATGTAACTGTTTGTTAGGCTTGTTAAAAGACCTAACGCAAACTTTGTGTGACTGGCTTTAAAAGGGCATTTTTTCTCTCATTTCCTGGCTAAATTTAACAGCTTAGTAAGTGCTGAAGACTAGATGTACCATTAACAGTATTAGAGATGAAGTTACCATGAGGCTTATTTAATACACCTGGACTCCCACCCCCAAATCAGACATATACATCTTCAAACAACAGATGTATATTCCTACCACTTGATGCTAAGGGGTTTAAAATAAAAAATACACAATGTGTGTTTTTGTTTTAAAGTCCCATTAGCATCCATTAACCCTCACAGTGAGTGCACTGTGTCTCAGGAGAGACAGACACCTGGCTACACACCTTTCTTTTCTAGAGCAGTGAACATAGCCATGATTGGGTCCACATGAAGAGCCAGCTACCTGCTTTCCTGACTTGGTAAGGACCGGTATAGTTATATGCATTTAGTGGCACAGGCACACTAAGAGCTCAGCTTTTCCAGAGAGCTCCATGAGCTCATGCACCACCGTTCCAGCGGCATAGTAAGGACACCAGCTTGTCCAGCTGGCAAGTTTGAGCAACACTTAGCTAAACTGCTATTCCTTTGTGTCAAAACATTATTAAGCATTGGCATGACAACATCACTTACATCTGATTCCCAGCAGTAAGGAAAGGTTAGGCTCCTTGCCCTGAGCTCTCTGGGTAAGAATACTGCACAGTGCTTTCAAGTCAAACAAGCAATGGGACATTTCCTTGAACAACTGGTCTGCTACAGGCATCTTCTCAGATACTGGCTGCCTGGACTGCTCCACCAGCCGCATCTGCTCCTTCAGGCAGGCATTCTCTTCCATCAGTCTTTGGTTCTTTGTGAAAACCAAATGGAAAAAAGGGGAAAGTTAAGTCTGCATCATGCACTGTAGCAGAAAGTTTTCTGTTCCAAACCACAAACAATATAAATTATAATAATTAAATTCCAAACATATAATCAATATTTCTGTACCTCTCCAAAGAATAGCAGATAGACAGCTTCTACATGATTGTTTCACGTTACCATTTCTTAACCATCTTTGCCCTTTAAGTTCTCCCTTCTTGAGGTAGGGATGGTATGTATTATATGTCTGCATGGTAGCCAGGACAGTTAAGATGTAATTAAGGTCATCAAGCCCTACCAAGGGATCTTACAATCATTCTGTAAGATTCTTCCCAGCTGGTGTGGTCAGGGGTTGGGTTACTGGAGTTTTTACTTACTTCAGAGAGAGTTTTATTCAACTGCTCTATATTCCTTTCTTTTTCCTCAAGCTCATTTGTCATCTTCTGAATTATCAACTTTTCTTGCGAAAGCTTCTCTTGCATAGACTGAAGTGAATGAAAACACAGGTAAAGATTTTAAATTTTCATGCTGTATATCAGCACTTAGAAAAACTGCATCCTCAGTAAATTTCTAAGTTTCAATTACTTTATGCTTTTGCACTAATTCTTCATTTTTTACTTTCTACCACGCTTCACCTGGTAATATTCAGCTGTACCCCAGCTCACTGTACACTAACATACCATTCCAAGTATCATTAAACCTTTTAAATAAGCAGAATCTCTTTAGAAACAAAAAGGCTGTATGCATGAGAAACCTTAGTCCAATAAGGAATGCATGATGTCTAAAATAACTATGCAATATTGTTTATTCTAATCAAACAATTTCACTTTAAATAAGCAGTAGATACATCACAAGAAAGCTTCATTTGTGTCATTCCAAGGTGTAACTGAAGATCTGTTTCAGTCTCTACTTTAGACAAAGACTAAGGCAGGACTTCCCACAACCTTTCACAATAGAATTCACCTCACCTATACAGTTGAGAAGAAAGCCTTTGACAGCTGATACACAGCAGCAACCTCTGTAAAATCATTCAGACATATGACAGAACAGTCTATACAATTCTACTGTACTGAAAAAACTGCAGGCAAAAAACAAACTTATTTGAAGTTGCATCTTTAATAGATACAATAATTACTATTTTCAGTATTGCAGCTTTTCATGATCGACTTCCAGATCAATCACAAGCAGCAACAAACAAAAAACCTGCTGCAACATGGAATCAGCTGCTGTCAATTCCCCAGTTTTCAACTACAGAATTGAAACTGAGAAATCATGAGATATTTCAAAGTGGAGTTTTTGGAGCGAGTTCAGCATGACCATAGGTGCGTTTGTTCTTAAAAGGACTCATTTATTCCACTACTTGGCTTTTAAGTCTGTAGATATGTCTTTCAAGGTCATCTGGCAAAATTCAGAAAGAGGAATATTCAAACCATCTTATCTGAATACTAACAATGAATAGCAACTCTATCATATTCTGCAAAACTGGAAAACAATGGTGCTAACATTTACAGACTTAATATGAACTAAAAAACCCCCCACTTCATTTTCACGTAAGTAGTGAGAAGCAGCTGGCAGAACCCAGAAATGACTACTTGTTTTTAAAACCATTTTCATACACTTGACCTGCTGCTCTTTTCATCCACATCATGACCCTCAAAAGGAAGTGCTGAAGTAATGTGCATCCCGAAGATAAGCTCTTCAAGAAAGCACAGCTACACACGCCAGTGGGAGGAAGGGCAGGAGGAAGGAGGGTCCTGCCTCACAGCAAAGGAAACACCCTGGGGCAGGACAAGGCAGGAAATAACTGCTTCAGGCATTTCCTCTTGCGTGCTTGCAGATGAGCAGAACCTGCATCTTTATTTTTTTAGAAACACTATGTACTGAGAAAAATGGCCATTACTGGGTCAGCCTGAAGGTCCTTCTAGCAGCCAAACAGAAGATACTTAGGAAGCAGGAAGTGAACAGGGCAATGCAAGTGCCCAAAACACCCTCCCAACTTCCAAGTTTCTCCCACTTTTAACAGTCTTTGATGATGAGCAAGTTCAGGGACACCCAGAGCCCCAGGTATGCTACATCCATTAGCCCTACCACTTACACATTTCATGATCATGTCAATGACAACATAAGGTTTGACTCTGCAGCCTTCCTGAGGGTGGAGAGGTGGTAGGAAAGACAGGGTGAAAAATATTACCTTCCCCAGTGTATTTTCAGAACTTCATCTGCCACTAAATTTGCATGACTCTGCAAACTAATCAAAAAACAACTTCTAGAATATTCTAAACAACATGCACACATTCAGCTCAAGAGTTGCACCATGTAACAGGAACTACTAGAAGTGGAAATCTGTTTATTTTTAAAAGATACACCTAACATCTATCATTCTCTGCTACTCTAATCTTAAAGCTCAGAAAAAGCACATGTGCTTAACAGCTTGGCTGAGCCTACAGTGCTAGGGTTTCCAAGTCCCTAATTGTGCTATGAATCCTCTGTACTTCACCCTTAATTTTTCTATATGCTTTCCAAAGTTACAAAATGGTGGCAATACTCCTAGCCTGGCACAGTTTGGGTTTATTGTGACTGACAGGGTTGACAGATGTACTTTGGGTAACACAGGCATCATATAATCTGACCTATTTCAACTTTGTTTTGTAGTAAAAATTTTAATTTTGTGATATCTAAATTAATCATGTAAATATGGATTTTTTTAAAACATCATTGTAATGCATAATTTTTCTCTTTCTGAAGAGGTACTATATATGCAGCACAGCATCTTGTCAAGACCAACCAGAATTTTAATCCCTCTCACTCAGAAGAACAAATCAATGAAGCAAAACCACACAAGGAAGATCAAAATTATTTCACCACGATTACAAGCAAATAGAAACTAGTACTGCTTCAGACACTGCTGTCTGAAACAGAATTTGCTTTCAGCTTGCAAGTTAAAACCAATGAATTGAAATACATTCTCAAGCATAAGTTTACAATGTGGCAGAAGACAGGGAATAAAATGAGATCATCTGAGCTGAAGATAAATTACATCTCTGTGCTGATAAGGGATTTCAATTTGTAATGAACTAATTTTCAACACTTCCCAGGTAATGAATATGGAAGGCTGGGGATACCAAGGACAAAAAGAAGCTGCTGTCATCATCATCATGGCTAGGCTTCGTGAACGAAGATTTGGGAAGGGCTCTACCCACTATTCTTGCAAGCGCGTTGGTGGCTAAAAAGGCCAATACGAGAAAGGCAAGTCCGGTTGCAAAAGACACAGCAGAAAGACTCCTTAGATGGTATATTCTGCAAGGCTCGATTCTTTCTGCGTTGTCTTTTCTCCTCAAGAGTGATCCTGCGTGCTTTCTCAAAAGCATCAGCGGCGTTATAAATGGACTGTCTCCAGGCCTCCCGGTTAGAGGCCAGAGTAGACCAGTTATGGTGATCAATATGCCCAAGGCTGAGTTGTTGCTTCAGGGAGTCCTTGTATCTTTTCTTCGGAGCTCCTCTCTTGCGGCAGCCGGAGGCAAGTTCACCATAAAGCAGGATCTTAGGGAGGCGGTGGTCCTTCATCCTGGAGACGTGCCCTGCCCAGCGCAGTTGCGATCTCAGTAGCATGGCTTCAATACTTGTGATTGCTGCCTGTTCAAGAACAGATGTATTGGTCACATAATCTGACCAGTGGATGTTTAGGATTGTACGGAGGCAGCGTTGATGGAAGCGTTCTAGGAGACGCAGGTGGTGGCGGTAGATGACCCATGTTTCGGAACCATATAAAAGAGTAGACAGCACTATGGCTCTGTAGACACTGATCTTGGTACCTTTCTTCAAGTGTTTATTACGCCAGACTCTTTTATGGAGTTTTCCAAAAGCACTATATGCCTTCGCTAACCTATTGTCTATCTCCCCGTCAATCTTACCATCTGAGGAGATGAGGCTGCCTAAGTAATTAAACTGTTGGACTGATTTGAGTTCTGATTGGCCGATGGTGATGTGGGGATGATGGAGGACTTCCTGAGGTGCAGGTTGATGGAGAACTTCAGTCTTCTTTAAGCTGACTTCCAGCCCAAAGAGCTCAGCAGCCTCTGCAAAGCAGGATGTTAAACGCTGCAGGGCTGCTTCTGTGTGAGCGACAAGGGCGGCGTCATCAGCATAAAGCAGCTCCCGGACAAGATGGTTTAGGGTCTTAGTGTGGGCCTTCAGTCGCCTTAGGTTGAATAGGCTTCCATCAGTACGATATCGAATGTAGATACCGTCCTGATCATCGAGGTCTGCCGTGGCCCTTTGGAGCATCATACTGAAAAAGATTGTGAATAAGGTAGGAGCGAGAACGCAGCCTTGTTTCACACCATTCTTTATTAGAAAGGGCTCAGAAAGTGTGTCGCCATATCTGACTTGGCCATGCTGATCTTCATGAAGTGAGGTGATCATTTTAAGGAACTTGGGGGGACAACCTAAACGTTCCAAAATCTGCCAAAGACCTTTTCTGCTCACAGTATCGAAAGCCTTGGTGAGGTCGACAAAGGTTACAAAGAGACCTTTGTTCTGTTCCCTACACTTCTCTTGCAGTTGTCTG